TATAAGATACACATAAGAGAAGGTAAATTGGACCAGAGATGGAGTCCATACTATAGAATCGTGGAGCAGACGGGTCCGGTTTCCTTTGTGATCTGGGACCAATTGACCGGACAGGTAAAGAGAGTGCAAGCGAATAATATAAAGCTAGCTGAAATAGGAGAATGGAAAGGAGCCGAAACAAAAACTCAACAGAAAAGGCTGAGGAAATCTACGTTGGTAGAACCTGAAGGCTTAGAGACTGAAAGTAAAGGGAGTGAGGAGATTGAAATTAGCCCAACTACCCTTCGAAGACTGAGGGAGGTAAGTCGGACCCCAACGGGACATTCTGAGGAAGCAGGGATTGAGCCTAACCTTAGGGAAGAAGAACTGAGTGAATGGGATGAAGAGGATGAAATTCCGTTAGCTCAATTGCAGACTAAATTTGCAGGCTGAAAAAGCACCTAGTGTTAATGAGGAATTGCCACTGAAACAGCGGTTGAGGGGAGCGGTGCAGCCCGAACCCAAGGATTAAGTGAAACCAGTACAGTGGCTGTGGTGAATGAGTGACGGTCTGGGACTAACTGTGCATTTATCATCAGTGCTGGTGGACTGTGTGGACGGCCCCCATGCATGCACGGTGCTGGTGGTGGTGTGGGTCGGTGCTTGAGGTATCGCTCTAAGATGTAACCTCCCGCTAAAAACAATAAGAGAGTGATTGAGTAAGACGAATTATTCTCTCCATCTCTTTGCAGACATGGACGAGAGGAGGCTCGTGGTACTGACGATGCTAGTTGTGGTAGCTAATACCTGGGAACACAGTGAGAATACTGTATTTAAGAAGACTAGCGAAGTGATTACAACTAGATCAAAGTGGTTGATAACTTTGGTGATAGATCTGCAGCCGTATGAGAAGTTACTGGGTCAGTTGAAGATCGAAGTGGACAAACTAGATACAGCCAGGACACAAGAGACTATTTACAGACTCCAGAATGCCACCGTATATTATCCCCCTTAGCTCAGGAATCCCTAATACTTGAGACAATGGAAGACTATTTGAAAGGAATAAAGTTGTTACGGACCAGGCAAAAGAGGGCAGTATTACCTATAATGGGAAAGGCATTAAGCGTGTTGTTTGGTACAGTCTCCGAAGATAAAGTGAGGGTAATTAACAGGAAATTGAAGGTGGTAGAACAGAGACAACAAGCAATAGCTCAGTTGGTTAGAGAGAGCGTATCTATACTCAATGTTACTAGGCTGGAATTGGCTAAGAATAGAGGGAGTATCAATTAGTTGATTTCTCACCTACAGGTTTTAGAAAAGAAGTGATAAATGTAACCACGTCTGTAACAACCGAATTACAGAAATTAGAGGGTTTTTTGCAAAGGTATTTTCAATTATTAGCTATAATGAGTAAGGTACGTCAAACAAGTCGCTCTTTAACGGTGTTGTTAGAGCATGTGAGAGCACAATTAGACGTGCTGTCGCTGGGACACCTGTCTCCGAGTATAATAACGCCAGAACGATTAAAGTAAGTACTACTGGAGATACAAGCCAAACTACCCCATCATCTTAGATTACCTGTAGACCCCACCCAGCAATTATGGAGGTATTATAGCGCCTTTGGATGTACTACTTTGTTGGAAGATGAAAAAATGCTAGTGCTAGTGCCGGTTCCATTACTGGACAGAGATAGTACCTTTGAAATTTATCAGGTGATGAATCTTCCTCTTCCCTATCCAAAGCTAAGGCCAAAGATAGGAACGGTGGCTAGGAACAAGGTAGAGACGGAATTTGTTGCCCTAAACCTAGCTAAGACAGAGTTTATGCTATTAACAAAGGGAGAGGCAGAAAAATGCAAGAATGATGCCTTAGGTATCTGTGGGTCTGTAAGTCCAATTTACGTGACAGGTAGTCACAATCTGTGTACTAGGTTTATTTAAGAAAAATAAGAAGGGAATTAGAGATCATTGTTAGGTAGAGGTGTTAGCTAGTGTAATGTTACCTAAAGCAACCAGTGTCTCTGACGGAATTTGGGCGGTGGCCACACAAGAAGAGATCGAATTATCTAAGGTGTGTGAAGGGAAGCCCACCACTACGATAAGAGTTATACCCCCTTTGTTTTTCGTAGAGCTACCCATTGATTGTGGGGCTCATTGTCCATTTATCTCTTTACCCCCTACTACCAAGCTGAAGAGAAGTTTGAAGAGAATGAGGCTTTGTTAGAGCTGGTAGGAACGAATGCTGGTGGATGGACGGGATTGTGGGAACCCATTGTAAGAGAGATTCCTAAGATGTCGCTAGAAAAGATGCCGGCGTTGTTAAGGCCAATCGATAAGATTGATCTTGGACGGTTGAAGTCGGAGTTAGATAAGATAGGTACGCCGAATTCGGGCTGAAGAGAGAATTGGGTTGCTATAATAACCTGGCCGACCGTTGTGGGAATTATACTAATGATAGTCGAGGCCTTGCTGGTTTGGTGGTGGTTGAAGAGGCGTGCGATGTTGTCGATCGGGCAGAATAAACTGGCACGGGAGTGCATGAGTGAAGGAGTGATTCCAGTTAGTGCACTTTACCAAGGTAGGTCCGACCCGAGTACATTGAGACCCCTAACTGATATTGAAGAAGAGTCCACGATTGTCGTGGGAGGACCTGAACCAACAAAAGATTCGACAAAGCCTGTTGTGAAGGCGAGACAAAACCGGAGGGACAGATTTACGAAGTAAATCGATTTTTTTTTTCATTTTTAGTAATGAGACTGAAATAATTGGTAAGGAGTGTTGCGAACTTCAAAAGAAAAAAAAGGGAAAGAACCCTCGAACTAGTGAACTATGTGAAAAGGTTCTATTACACGAGGACACCAAAACAGTGAACTTTAACCGGAAGTTGCATGTACATATGTGTCGTAAGGACAATGAAAATGTAAATGGGCATAATGAGCCCTAAGAAGAACTAAGGACTCTACCTTTGCATGCTGGAAGAGACCCTAGTAATAAGGACTGGGTTTTCTCATATTTTGTTGATATGAAAGCTCGTGTGTCATTTACTAGTAAATGACAGATGGGTAGGGGAGGAAATGTGACAGAGAGAGCCTGGGAAACACACACATACACACACGCGTATATTTTTTTTAGTGAAATTGGTGTAGATTTGGACTAGCGAAATTGATCAGAGCATTTTGTTTACTGATGGGAAATCTGATCTAGGGCAGGAGCTGTACCCATTGGAACTGGTTCATTAGCAGACATTGGAAATGGTCGAAATAATTTTTATTGATTAAAACTTGGAATAGACCTGAGTAAGCAAGCAGGACCTTTAGAATTCACATGATTTTGGTTGCAACAGCCAAAATCCCGTGATAATCACGTGCGAAGTAGTAGGGCCAAGGTTCAGTTGTAACCAGCCGGATTTTTCTATATAAACGTGTAGTTATGCTGAAGAAGAGGCAGACGGAAGAGAGAGACGGAAGAGAATTAGCCCGGGCAAGAGTTGGACTAGAGACAGTGGAAACTCAAGAAGGAGAGAGAGTGACGTCAGAGATTGGAACGAAGCGTCCGCTAACATGTACTGTTGATATAAGTACCGCTGCTTCTGCTACCACGAATATTACTACTACTGTTACTACTGCTAAGGAGGGACGCCACTATAAACTTTAAGCCGCGCACAGAAATCTTATTTCCCCATCACAGGAGTCGAATATCGTTCTGAGACGATTTAACAACAAGTTAATCATAACACACACACACACTCTCTCTCTCTCTCTCTCTCTCTCTCCAGATCCGGCTTTCTGCAGATATTAATTTTTTTTTTTTTTTTGCTGCATTCTAAATTTCTTAGCGCAGACTCTCCAGCTGTGTCTACATCTTCAGTCGACCGTAAATGGATGAACATCGCTTCTGCTTTCTGGATCAAACCAAACACAACGTGGGCAGGAAGCAGGATTAAACCAGTGGACCGGTCGAATAATCTACGGATGCTCAGGGGACCTACGGCCACTCCCTTAAGTTCGGTTAGGACCGAGTAGACACCTCAACCCAGAGAGTAAGACGTCGGAGGTTGAGGGGCTGGGGCGAAAGTGTTAGATCTTAAAATCAACTGGAAAAGTTAAATTCTTTCTTTATACTATCATTAATTAAACTTGTTATTGTTCTTTACCTAGTTCATTATCTGGAAGGTCTATCTTTCCTGTATGTTTGTATAGAGAGCACTCGTGCACTGCACGAATATTCCTATCAAAGTCTTCCTCAGCTGACCTGTGTAGATCTTCAAATCGCAGTGTGGGAATAGGGGTCAAGGTTGAACTGTAAGCGAACAAACGACCCGGCGGTGTACTATTACACTTTCAGTATTTTGATTAATAATCTGTAGAGGTTGTTTTGGTTAATATTTCGATGTTTTTTCCTATTGTAATCTTGAACATCAACGTGACCAAACTTTTAAAGGAGTTGTCTTATGAGAAAATGTCCCAAAGTGACACAATATTATTTTTTTAATGATAACTAATTTCACTTTATTTCGTAATCATTGTTGAATCTCATTTATGCTTGAGTAGTGTTCGATATCCTTAATAAAATAATGATTTTATATGGAATTGGTTTTGATTTGCAGCTTTAAAAGAGCACGCCATCATACAAAAAAAAAACAGACCTGAAATGAAATAACCAGTTAAAAGAATTAAAAAAAAACTGTACTGGCTGTGTAAGTAGTAAAAATGCACTGTTTGTTTTTAATCAGCTAATAATATAAATGCTTTCATTACCTTTGTCCTTTATTGACTGATTAAAAAGAAAAAACAATTATTCTACAACTTAAATAACGACAGACCAACAAGCTAAAAGAATTTGGTAAAAATAAATTGAACTACCACGTGGTAGATGAAGGACACGATTGTCCCTTGCTAGCCGCAACAAGAGTAGTAGGGGATTTAGACTGGGGCGCGGTAAAGTAGAAGGAAGTGGAACTCTTCAAGCGGAGGAGGAGCGAATAGCCGCCATCACAAACAACACCGCGACACAATTCGCAAAATGGCCTCTACTACTCAAGGGATACAACTGAGCAAAGTAAATATAACGATTTATTATTTTTCTTTCTTTCTTCTCTCTATCGTCCAAGCTTTTCATTAGCATCGCTTCTAGACTTGGGTGCTTATGAACGTTATACATCTGTATTGTATACAAAACAATATTTCTTTTCAATCAAATTTACACTTTACATGCCGTTATAAATGTTGAAACAACAAAGAGAATTCTAGACTTTTTCTTAGATTTCTCAAAGTTTACTTTATTTTTTTTTTTTAACTTTATTTATTTTGTAGGATTATTTTTATTAACTATTTTCAATGTTCATTTGAAGAATTTAATTAGTAATGCATACAATTTCTAGAGCAATTTTCCAGTAAAAAATATAGGAAGAAAGGATTGTTAATTTCCGTAACGATTCACGGAGCCCAATAAAGAAAAAAAGTTTTTTTTCCTCTTTTAATTGGACAGACCCAATTAAGTCTTTCATTTAAAATTAACTTAAAAATATACATCACCATAGTCAATGAAATAATATCCCTTTCTACCCAATAACTTTTATCTTGTTTTTAAAAGACCGCCCGTTCAAAACAGGTGCCTGTCGTGTTAAAAACGTGGTGCCCATTCAGTAAAATAACTTTTGCCCTGACCATTCATACTGGCTTGTTTGTTTCCCCATTCATTCTTTCACATTTTTAATTTTATTAAAATTTTGAATAAAGCCGACCCTCCTTTGTTATCACCTTAATATTGTTTAAGTGTTTGAGTTTGACGTTTATGCTGTAACTGATTTTTTTTTTCACTTTTTAACCAGGTGAGCCCATCGTTTCTCCACGCCAACTCTACAAGCCACACTTGGACTTTCAGTGCTATTGCCGAACTTATCGGTAATTTTTTTTTTTCATTCTCTATTTCCTTATACTAAATAATGATCTGCTTCTTGTGTTTTTTTTCTTCTGGCGTAATGCATTACAAAATACAAAGACTCTCCTTAAAAAAACACCAACTAAGTTTTTCTTTTCTATTTTTATCACAAAAAATACTATTCTAAAAATTTAACCGAACGTTATCTCCTTGTCCATTGTAGACTCACTTCTTCCTTTTTTACTACCTCTGTCCATGGAACCAAGTTTTTTTCGTTGTTTTTTTTCATTTTTTAAAAAAACAAATCTATTTTAGTCTTATGACTACTTGGCATTAGAAATTTATTTTGTGTGTTGTTAGAACACACATTAATACAAACCTTACGTCGTTTTAATTATCGTAAAAATTAGCAAATTAAAAACGCCGCGTTTTTTTTTTTTTTTTGTTTGTGTATATATATATATATATATATATATATATACACACACACACACATATATATGTGTGTGTGTCCAGGAAACTGTAAAATTTTAGCTACAGTACAGGAAGGAAAAAATCTGAAATCAATATTGTATTGGAAAAAAATATCGTGTTCAGGATCAGCCAAAGTACTAATTGTCATTTATTTACAAAAAAAATAAATGAATAATTGAAATTTAAATTTGGCTTGGATATATTTAAAAAATGAATATCTTTCAGTAGTCACGGAACTCAAACTGTGTCCTTTCTTTTATTTTTCAAAATAACTTTCCGGCACTTCATGTACAATTCTCTCTCTCTCTCTACTTTGTACCTTAGCAAATGGTTCACCAAACCAGAAATGTTCGTCGTCTCTGAAACTGGAACTAGATTTTTTTTCTTTCGTCCCGTATATTTGGTGATTAAAGTTTTAGTTATGGCAATTCTATCGTTTTTGCTTTTGTGTTTCTCATTTGTATCTTTTAAGACAAAAATCGAACTAGTAAAAAAAAAAAAAAACAAGTCTTTGTTTTTATATACATTCTCGTCAGTTGTTAAATTTGTATGTTAATTTTGTACTTTTAGTCGTAGAGGTTGCTCCAGACATTTTTGCATACATTTCAACACGATCTTTCGGTGTTTTTAATTTTTTTAATGACATTCGCTTCGAAATGTAAATTATTTTCCCATAACTTAATACTAACAGTAACATTTAAATGCAATTAAAATTAAATTGATAATTAATTTTTTTTTTTTTTTTTTTTTTTTTTTTAAAGATTACAATTTTTTTAAAACTTCTGACATGATAAATTTAAATAAATATCAAAAAAATTGTTTTCGTGAGCGACTACCACTATGCCGTAACTGATTAAAACTGCATTTAATTTAATTTTTTTTTTTTTTTTTTTTTTTTTTGGCCAATTTCTCACAGTTCGCATCAAAGGATTACTGATAGAAACTGGTTTTAAAATTAAAAAGGAAACTTTTACAAGCATTAATTCACGTTTTATTCCGTTCGCTTTTCCATCTAGCTTAGGTTTTTTTTATCCTTCCATACATGTCAAATTTTAAAGCGTAACTTTTTTTTTTGTTATCTTAGTTAGTACTGTAAATAAAACTTGTAGTTTTTACATTTACAACGAATACAAAGAGTGCTGAAATGTCTCGTTTCAAATAAGAAATTACAAAAAAAAATTCTGTTTAGTTAAATTTAGTCGGACGAGCCGAGAACTTTTCAGTACTCTGACCATGTATGTATGGTTATTTTATTATATATATATATATATATATATATATATATATATATATATATATATATATATATATATACACACACACCGCGGAATTGTCAGTATTAGTTTTGCACGATAAAATTGTAATAACGCAATTGTCTCCCTTAAACTTTGACAATTAGTTTTCATAAAAGTAAGATTTCTCACTTTCCATTCATTTTTGTATATACGGTAACCTTAATTTTGTCTTTCCTTTTATATTCTAAATTGTCTTCATCCTTCGTGGACATCTTCCTACAATGTCATCTACTGTTCGGGTATTCAGTTCTGTCACACTTCTTCAACATTGCACCAAGAATACCGAATTTAAGAGAAGGTGCGAAACCGTTACTACTCGCATCAGAAAAAAAAAAAAACTTACCTCCGGCGGTAGAATTAAATACCATTATCGGATTCTATCTTAATTCGTTAAAATAATTGTCAATAAGCAAGAATCATGAGTTAGTTTTTTTTTCTTTGTTTTTTATATACATCTGTCACGATTTCAAGTTATTTTTAATATCTAAAAAGTAAAAATAAATTTGTTATATATTGGAAGACAATTGCAGCCGATTTAATTGCTGTTAGTGTTAGCAATCAATCTTTGAAGTAAAATTAACCGGTATCTCGGAAACCATCAAATGAGCTTCAGAAAAGAGTTGTTAGTAGCTAATGTTAAGAAAAAAAGTACAAAGAAACCGCTGTCTATATAAATGCTTATCGTCTTACATAGTAGTAACATGTTTTTAGCGTTAAGGAGCCTTGTTTTTATTTTTAAATCCAGTGAAATATTTAGTTTTCGCGGTGATCAACCGCTAATCATCGTCATTGACTTACATTAATAAGAAAGACTTTAAAAATATAAAAACGTTTCAAATAAACACCTTGCTTTTTGTTTGTTTGTTTTTCTTCTGTTTACAAAGAAAGTTCATTTGAAATCAATATTAAATTTACAGTGTTTTAAAAGGGGTTCAATTTGCGCAGATCGACAAGTCCGTTTACAAAAGATGATTTTTATTTCCCTTTACTCCAGCTATTTCAAAAAAAAATTTTCTGCATAAATTATTAGTGTTCTTTTATTTTTTCTTAATATATGAATCAGAGCAATTATTTTATTTGTCACTTAATTTCAGTAAATATTGAATTTTGTTTTCAAATTTCAGTTTACATGACGAAAAAAAAAAAAAAACTATCTCCTTAATATGTGGATAACATTAATAAAAGATAATGTCACTGAACTGCTTCATGCTAACTTAAGAATAAGATTTAACTTGGAAATAGTAGTGTTTCGGAAATTTATTCCCCTTGTCAACTTTCATATCATATTTCCATTGATCTATTATGTAATGATTTCTATTAAGGATGTGTAAAAATATTTATCAAAAGAATTAAATATCAAGTATCCAAATTGAGTTAAATATAGGTTATTATTATTATGTAACAGTATGTGGTCTCTTGGACAGAAGAGCAGTGGATTATTTAACTTTTTTTTTTTTTTTATACAAATTTGGGCACAAAGATGAATGTAGCTATTTTTATCAATTCTAGGAAGGTGATGCATTATTTTTCCCTGACAAAAGTAAATTCTGAAATTGCTGGGATAATTAGAAATTTCAAGTGAAGGATGTTTTTTGGGGTTTTTTTTTTTTTATGTCTTTTCCTGGACCAATATATTTTGCTGCCAGGATGCAAAGAGGAAATTTTTAACATAATTGCATTTGACTTCTTCACTTGTAAAATGTTGTTATTTTGAAAAAAAAAAAAAGGGTACAAAGACCGTACTGGAGAAGAGATGCTAAAAACAAAAACAATGGAAATTTTGCTGCTGCTTTATTTTCAAGGGTGCTGCAGGCTTTGAAAGATGAAGTGGCACAGAGACATTTCAGAGCCAACTAGCAAGTAAAGGTCTAGCAACACAACGTTTGAATAAAACCAGCAACAAATACATTAGGTCTCATTTAAAGTTCATTTTCTTTTTCTTTCCCCAGAGTGGATTTAACATTGTTTAACTATTGATTTGGCCCTGAAAATTTCTGCAATGCAAAAATATTTAATGGATCTATCTCCATAATGCTAAGATAATCATCTGTATTCTATAAGATAAAATAATCTCTCCCACATTTTTTGCTTTTGCAATGTTATGCTAGTAAATGTCTGATAAGAATATGAGTCATGTAAAATGATTTTTTATTCACTACTGGACCCTATTAAATTATTGTCAGGGGTAGGTATGGTTTTTGAGATTCTTGCAAAGATGGACTTATGACCATGTCATATTAGAACACTTGTTTTCATATGATTGCCAAAGTTATGCAACATCAAACCTGATTAGTACCTACATGAGTAACCACTTGGGAATACCAGGTGCTGTAAGATTATGTGCAGATAGTGTAATGTATAATGGCTTGAAATTGGAACGTGGAGAGCCAAGTTCCAATTCCAGTCAGGTTCATTGTATTCACTTACATGCAAATACTCTTGGGAAAGGTATAAATCCACATTATCTAAGCTATGAGTTAATTAAATATTTCTCACAATCTAAAAATCTTTTCTGACTTTGAACAACCTGCTGAAAGTTGATAAGATGTAAGAAAAATCAATCAATCGATAAAATTTTGCAAAGATGTTAGAGACTGTTTCACTCCCCCACCCCTTCCCCTTATGAATTGTATATCATTTACTGTCATCTGGTCCTCTTTGTGTGTGCATGTTCTGAATTCAGCTGGGTTCATTTCTTGTTTGTGTCACACCAATATCCTTTGAGGCCTGAATCTGCATTTGGTGGCCATGAAGTTACAAACTAGGTCATCCCTCTGAGGCACCTTGATGTTCTGATGCGACACCAAATACAAAGCGTATTTTGATATCTCTTAGAGTGAACCCAGTACGTATTGGGGTGACCACAGTTCAACTCCTCTTAGATCAAAAGTTCCTGATTGACATTAAATTTGATTTACTCCTCGGGATTTTCCTTGGCATGAATCACATGCAATAGTTTGATGCATGTACCTCCTATTAATTAAAATTTGTTTTTGTACCTTTTTAAATACTGATCTAAAAAAATGCATTTGTAAAAATTTATTTTGATTAATGTCTTTGTTAAATATTTGAAAGCTATCCTTAAAGTTTACAGGAGATTTAAAAAATTTGATTATAAAATTGAAGAATATTCAATATTTGAGCAAGGCTTTATTTCATTTATATATGTGTAAACTTTAAAATTACTTTCAATATTTTAAAATGTATGTTAGAATTATGGTCATTAAATATACATTTCCTTTATCATACAGAAGGGAATCAGCTTCACAAATACTATAAATAAAAACAAAAAAAATTCCATTACTTTTGTTCCACTAAATTAAATTTCTCCTGATGCATAGATTATTTCAAGTTTAAATGATGCATTATATAAAAAACATGTAATAGTTATATAATGAAATAGTTATGGATTAAAATCTCCCTCTCTCCCTCTCTCAAGAAAAATTACTAATGATTATCTTTAGTAATTTTCTAAAACTTGTATTTTCATCAATTTCAAAATGCTCTGCTACATTCAACTTTGCTTATTCATGATCAGTTTCCATTAAATTAGTTTGTGTGTGATATATATATAATCACGTATTATTTTGTTGTTATATAATAGTATTCTCAAATTAGTTTTCTCTGAATATTTATTAAAATGTTATCATTGAAGCTGAAAAATAAATACATGTTATTTGCCCTAAAAAGTTTATTTAAAATAAGGAAGCAGCTTAATTTTAGTCACATGCTCTAACCATTTGAGATTATTACCAAAGACTGAGCTTAAACAAACAAAACTAATTCAGACTACACTATTATTTATTTTTATTTTTTTAATAAATATGTCCTGGAAGAATTTAAATTTTTAGTGTGTGTGTTTTTATAAGAAAATTTGAATCTGTATAAATACCCAGCATTACGTCATCTTATGTATGTACCAACAAATCATAAAAATCACTATTACTGTAGGACCATACTAAATTTACATACAGATAAACCTTAGCACTAATAAAGGTTGTTTTGTCAAAAATAAAAATTGACCAGAGGATTTTAGGGATAAGAACATGTGCTTCTGCATCCCTAAAGCATTTGATGGCTATATTGCATTAGGAGGTACCTTTTTGAAGTAATGGCTAGCAAGCTAGACATTTGTACTATTACTACTGTACTAAGTTCAATTCTCAATAAGTGCCTCACACTTAAGGATAATTAACAGCATTATTAACCAGAATTTGAATTTGTCAGTTATGTGCCATGCGTGATACACGCTTGGGTGATCATGTATCTTTCAATACATGACTGATGAGGCAGATTTCTTCTGCAGTAGGTTGCCATTTCTTTTTGCGGTAGACCAGTTGCCATCCAGGGCTATAGAACATGGTCTGTCCTATTTATCCATAGCTGGAGGCGGGGCTAAGAGACTTCATACCTTTCCCAAGGATATTAGCACATAAGTGAATGTTATAGATTTGACTGGAATTCGAACTTGGCTCTCCGATTCCTCAATCTGAGCCGCTATCTATTACTCCACCATGCCTCCTTGAATTTACAAAAGTATAAAGTTATAAAGTACAGTCTGACCACTTCAATCTGGTACTCTGTAGACCTGTACTTTTTTTTTTTTATAATCAGCTGATATTAGTTCTTTGAGTGGTTACACTAGCAGCGCCACATGCATTTGCAACTTTCCATAGCAGCAGTGTTTTTTTTTTTTGTTTTTTTTTTTTTGTTTTTTGTGATACAGTCTGGCCCATTTCTTATATATAGCTGCATATTTACTGATTCAGGATGGTAAATATATATTATTTTTTAATTTTAAGCTTTTTTTTTTTTTATATTGCATGAAACAATAAAAAAAAACTTTGTTTGGAAGCATTAATGATTGTTTTATTTCCTGTCTTAAGGTTTGTTTTACCATTGATAACACAGAAGTGTATATATATATATATATATATATATATATATATATATATATATATATATAATAAAAAGGCTTAAACACTAATATTCCATGGTCATAATTTATTCCATTGGAATCGTATGGGGAATGTGCTAGCAAGATTGTTAACATATGGTTTGTTTTAGGGGTGATTTCTGTCATTGTGCAGTGGCCTGGTCCTGAAGGTGCCCAATTAAAGTGGTCGGACTGAATGATGATAATTTGAATAAATTTTTTGCAAATTATTGCCATCTTGGAAAAATGTTGAGATTCCAAAGTTGGATGTTACATTGTTGGATAGAGGTTTAGTTTTGTTTTGAATGTATTGAACAGAATATGTAGGAATCGGTATTTTACCAATGAAACCATGCTCATATAACAGCCCAGAATAATTTGTAACCCTTATACACTTTAGTCTATTCCGCCACTGAACTGATATGGAAGTTATCAAGTAAAAAAAATTTTTTTTGTTTTCATAAGTTTGTCATCTTTTGTCTATCAGTACATGTGTTTTTTAATTGTTTTTCCTTTAGACAATGCTTATGATCCCGATGTCAATGCGTCTCAATTGTGGATCGACAAGTACAATATCAACAATAAAATCTGTTTATCTTTTGTTGATAATGGAAATGGCATGGAACCTGATAAACTACTTAGAATGCTTAGGTAAGTTAATCTCATTTAATTTGTAATGTAATCGAGGAGCAGGCAATTCGCTTTATATTACGCTCGGAGTTACTTCCCTTGCTGAATCTCTGTCGTAATTTAAAATGAATGTTTATGTATTTGCTTTTTAATGTTGATAAATAATTTGATTAGATTTGGAAGTAAAAATGATTCAGGCAAATATAAAATATCTACTTATAGTAAAGTTTTGTTTTTTTTATTTTTTAAATAAAAAGACATTTAAAAATATTTATTTTAAAAATGATAATTTTGTTTCTCCACGAAAATCCATTAGAACTATATTATTTTTGGTCCTATATGACCAGGCTAATCATTAGCAGCTCGTAAAAGTAGTATTATTAGGACTTTTGTTTACCAAAACACATTTCTGATTATGCTTCTAAACTTTCCTAACCTAAAACGTTTTTAATGTTCCCCTAAATAATTTGTGTTGATAATTTATCTGCATTATTCAACTTTTTCTATTTTAATACATTCTGAATTTTGTTCCATCATTTAGATAAGAATTTAACAAATAGAAATTTTTATCAGTATATTTATCTTTGATTTCTTCTCACTGTAACAGCAGCAACTTTTTAAAAATAGCAATTTTTGCTTTGCATTAAATCTTACTCTGTGAAAGAAATGATACATTCAAAAACATCTCTATTAGAAATTACACTAATGTTATCAATCCCAAGTAGTAAAAAAAATGTTTTTTTATTGGTTATTTCTAATCCTCATCACTATTATTATTTTACATTTGAAATGTATTCCTCACCAGTTTTTAATTCAGTTTAATGACCCCAGCTCCCGCTTCCAACATCCCCACCCCAATTCCTATCTATCTTCATGACCCTCAAAGGTAGCGTTTATCAACTGGTGCGTCCATGTGCACTAATGCACCCTGAAAGGTAGCCAAGTGTGCCCCAAGTTAACAGAAGAGTAATTTATGAATTATTTTAATATTTAAAAAAATAAAAGTAGACACTAAGCACATGGCTTCCATGTCTAAGTCAAGTCTTTGTCATTTGATATTTTAAAATAGATGCTAAAGTTCTTAATCTTTAAGGTGTGGATAATCTTTTCTCTTTTGCCTTCCTCAAAGGATTTAATTGGTCATTATCATCCTCTCTAAAAATAGAGATTCTTCATAAATTCCTTTAAATGAAAACTATACTGCCTAATCTTCACATATAAGGCCTAACATTAAAAACACTTGCCAAAGCACATCAAATACAAGTTTCAAACAAGCATACTTAACTGTACAACAAAATGTCTTAAAAACAATTGCTTATTTCAGAAAACTTCTTTAATTATTTTCTTATTTTCAAATTTCATGACTAAATTTTCTTTATTGAAATTTAAATTTCACTGAAGTAAAATAAACTTTGAGAAACACTGCTCTAAGGTATTATGATTTATTTCAGAAAAAAGAAATCACATTTGTTGAGAAAAGTTAATGATTTTTTCCTGTTAATTTCAGTTTTCTGTTCTGGAAATTGGCACTTGTAAATGATGTTGAAAGACTTATCTATTATTTAAATGCTTGCACAGCGTCTGAAATAATATTTGTTTTTTTCTGGGAGCTCCTTTTTTGATAATCTAATAAACTAATGAGTATTTTTAACTTTATTCTTCTTTTTTTTTTTTTTTTCTTCTTCTTCGAAGGATAATTAAAATTGGTGTAAGCAGCTTTAACATTGAGCTTTTGTTAATATGCTAAACAATATTTTTATATGGCTAATGAGTTTTTTTTTTTGTTTTGTTTTTTTTCTCTAGTTTTGGATTTTGTGAAAAAGTTGCAGTTGGTGGCCATAAGCCAATTGGACAGTATGGTAATGGATTTAAATCCGGTTCAATGCGACTTGGGCGTGATGCTTTGGTGCTTACACGGACCATTAATTGTATGAGTGTGGGCATGTTGTCTCAGAATTACTTGGAAGCTGTAAGAGAAGAGACAGTTCTTGTCCCCATTGTTACATGGAAGCTACCACAGAGTATCCTTTAAGCCATTATTTACCTGCTTTTGTGTTTTCTTGGGAGGGTGGGGTCTAAATTTCTTGTTAATGATGGGGATTTTCATTAACTTTATAAATACGTTCATAACATTGATTTCTATTTTTCAATACCATCCTTTTGAAATTTCTTTTAACCTGAAATACCAGAAATAGAGATACCAGCATGATTTTTTTTTCTCCATTACAAAAATACAAATGTGGCACTATAAAGTGTCACTGGTTGTAGTTGAAAGGGTTAATGAGACAATATTGTGACGCTGGTAGTATGAAAAAGGATTCATGTGAAAACTCCATATAGGATTTGGAGAATTGGAAGAGTTAAAAAGATTAAGGTGAAAACATGAATTGAAATATGAAGCAAGGAAAAAAAAAAAATTTTTTTTTTTTTTTTTTTTTCTTTCTGATAACCACAAAAGCAAAATGGAATGTTGGGTCCAAAATATGATTTGAGAAATGTAAACTACTTGTTAGCTGAAAAAACAAATGGAATTGTTATGAATTGTGAACCAATAACAATCTGAAATATGTTTTTTGTTGTAAGCATGCAAAGTGGGCAAGATTTTTAGTCAGACATATTTAAAAGTCAGCAACAAAGGAAAGTCTTTGATGTCAAGGCATGGTGATCCAGATCTTATCAAAACAAAAGGATGGCTTGATTTTGTCATTTGGAATCTTGGCCAATAGATGTCAAGGACATAGAAAAGAATTATTAAACACAAGTTTATCAAAGAATTTATTTTATTTTAATCTTGAGGTGTGGTAGGAGTCAAGCAAAATTATATATAAACGGGCACTTAGAATTTCCAACCGTGCTCCAAGTTTTAAAAGAAAAAGATAATGTCACTATAGAGATTTTAATGGGAATGATTAATTTTGTTGTATCAAGAACTACATAGACTTATTGGAAATTAACCCAATGGCCTTCTTTGTTATTTTGTTATGTCATTTTTATTTTCGTCAGCTCAACCATTCTTTGTCCTTTTGTAGCATGGTTTCACTGCAGTTCAATCTTCACTGCTCTGTGATTAAAGAACACAATGTGGGGCAGAAGCAGTTGAAGGAATGAAGTGGCAAGCAGATAACCATCAGTTGATCAGCATGGCAAGGACTCAGGATCAAGCTGGACCAGCCATGTTATACAAAACAAAAACAGACTATGAAAACAGTATTATGAAAATACTGCTCTTGTCTTTACTTGGGCAAAAGTAGCAAGAGTTTACCACTATTCTTGAGGTATATGCCTGATAACACAACTATTTAAACCTGTCTTAATGATCTACAATCTGTTGTTAACTGGGGCAAGAAATGGCTTGCTAATTTTAATGCCTCCAAAATGAAACTGTTCTCTTTTAATCTTATGAGAATCTTTTTTTTTGCTTTTCATCAGCATGGCTAACACTAACCTCTTGGAGAGTGACTCATTTTACTTTCTCAGGTTAATGTTTTTCTACTGTCATGAAGTGGAATGATTATATTGAATTAATTGCTACATCTGCTGCTGGGAAAACATGTTCACTGTGTCATACTAGACAATTTTTCTTACCAGATTCTATTTTACACATTTTAAAGTTTACCATTTGTCTATGCATTAAATATTGCTGCCACATCTGGCCTAATGCTTCTGTTACATATTTAAAGATTTTTGATAAAATACAAAGAATAATCAGCACTGTTATTGGTCAAGACCTGGCATCTTGGCTTCATTTTTTCTCTGCCTTTTCTATAAATGTTTTCATGGTAATTATTCTGATTTGCTTTCCCCTTTGATACCTAAACTTTATGAATTTAAATGCAGTACAAGATCGGTGGCAAGGTTCTAGAAATACAGTTATATATAAAGTGTCTACTCTTTTTAGCACTGATGGTTGTGAGAATAAAAATAAAGTTGTAAACAAAAAATGTTTTTACATTAATGTAATTGTTTAACTTGCCTCCCCCACTATTTTTATATTACTATCTATTCTCATTATCTTTGTATAGAGTTATTTATTTTTACTACTTTTTTTTTTTTATTAACAAATATTAATGCCCATAAAAAAAATTGATGTTACACTTTTGTAATTTGCCTTAACAATTCTCAGAAATTCGTTCTACAAGCCAAGGTACTTTAAACAGCCTCCGTGCTATTTTGAAGTATTCTATTTTCCGCACAGAGAAGAGTCTCTTAGATGAATTGGCTTCATTGGAAATGCTAAAGACAGGCACGAAAATTATTATCTACAACCTCAAAAGGTTAGTCCCTCCATAACACAGCAAGTAGAAACTTCAGAATTTCTACAAGTTTCAATATATGTAGATATTTTCATTTTCAATTCATGTGTTCTAATTGATAGGCAAACCTGAAAGTTTAATTTGATTTCATTTAAATATTTGGAGCTAATGTTGTTACTTAACTCTCCACAAATTTGCACTATTTTTTTTTCCCTCTTTTTCATCAATGATGCAGAGATTATATTTTTTTATGCTATTTTCTTACCGTAATTAGTTTTCAAAATTGACCATATATTTTGCAGGCTGGAGGGAATTGGATGTGTTGCAACCTTCTATCCCCCCCACACACACACCATGTATCCAATCAAAATTCTGGCATTAGTTTAACACTTGAAAACTATACACATAGTTCATTTATATATGTTTGTCATGTCACAATAGAATCTAAAAAGGTTTTTTGTTTTAAGTATCGTAAAAATGAAGTGGATGATATAATGAAAGGTTTAGTATCTTTTATTAGTATACAGGGTGCTCCACAAAAAAACAGGAAATTTTAAATTTACTATATGAAAAAAAATTACTTCACATAAAAAAAATTAACTTTTTTAGTTTGAACACCACATCTAACATTTGTGATTATGTTCTGTTTTAAGCTAAAAAATTTTTATATTTTGCTTTTGTTTTGAATAACTATAACAAATTCCAACAATTAAATAAACTGTACAAAATTTCCTGTTTTTTTTGGGGGGGGCACCCTGTATATTCTTTCATTACTCTGAACACAAAATATTTGCATTTAAATACATTGTATCTTTAAAAAGGACTTACTGATTATTTACTGAATTATTGTATTTAAGAGTTCTCATTTTTATGATGAAATTGGAATTAAAGCTAAATTATGAATTAGCAATTGAGGCTTCAGATATTTAATGACTTAGTCAATCAAAGGATTATATAAATTTCTTCAGATCTTATTTGTATTTCAATTTCTTTAACCAATGATTGTGAATGTATGGAATTGGTGAACCTAATTTGTTGCATTCATTGTGTCTTTAGTAAAGGAATGTATTAATCTTTTTTTCTTGTTTCCCCCCTCCCAATGGATTAAATAGAGTAGCTTGGGCTCTTGAGCCTTGGGTAGCATCCAGTTTAGGAGAACAACTTTAAATTCAAGGCCACAGGAAACCAATACACTATGGCAATTTACATGTTAATGAAAAATTTCTAAGGAGCTATGATTGTTTTCATATCTAATCGACATGGCATTTAAAAAAAGACAAAAAAAAACCCCGAAAAACAATGATCTTATTTAAGTGTACATAGGCAGCAATGTGTACGCCCTAAAGCTCTTTTGTATGCAAATACATTTTTCAAATAGTTTATCAACACTGAAACAAAGACTAATAGTTAGAAAATTGATTACAAAATGAATGTTTTCTTTCTTTTTTCTTTCTTTAAAGAGGAAATGATGGCAAACTCGAACTGGACTTCGAAAGTGATCCCGTTGACATCCGAAATCCAGAAAGTCACGAGTTTGATTATTCCTCCATTAACCGTCCTCTCAGTCAATACTCACCTGAATATCGCAGATCCCTTAGGGTATGATTAAAACTTTATTTTTCTACTTAACAATAACATATTTCTAATTCTTTAGCGAAAAAATGATGTTTTGTCTTTAATATTTTCAATAACTGTAAATCGTTTTTTTTTTTTTATCTTGATTACATTTATGTTTTAATAATTTGTATCAGAGAACTAATTTGTTAATAAATGTAAAAAATTAAAAAAAATTTTTTTAATTATCAGATTTAATCACTCTTGAGTTTGTTAAAATAAAGCAATAAATACATCAATTTCATTTATCATAACAGGCTGCACATTTTTTGATGTCACCAACTCTTGACCTTCATGATTTTGAGAAAATTTAAGATTTTCTCAGTAACTTAGCAAGCAATTTTCTTTTTAGATACTTCTTGATTTTATTTATTTATTTTTTTCTTTTAGGAATATGGTTCTATTTTGTTCTTGAAACCCAGAATGAAAATCATTCTCAGAGGCAAGAAAATACAAACTAAACTGATCTCCAAAAGTTTATCCCAAACAGAAACGGATATTTATCGACCAACATGGCTGGTATCCTTTTCAAAAAGCTTTTGTTATCTTTGGATTCCATTACTCCACTTTTCTCTCAACACTTGTAAAGGATACTTTTATGCTCTCTTTCATTATTTCAAAATGTTATTCATGTAAAAAATTATATAAAAATATATTGCCTGCTCTGCTCATAACTTATTAGATTGCATAAGTAAGGAGGAAATTTCATTAATATGTATTTCTCATCTTTTAGCTTTTCATTTATTACTGTTAGTGCTGTAGAATTTTCTCTGCATTATTTTATATGGGTTTTATTTTTATTAATAGAAATTATATCAAACTAATAAGTAAAATTTGTTTTTTAAAGCTACCAAATTCTGGTGTGTACTAGATTGTACATATTATTTTATATTCTTGTTAAAATTTTTATTTTTACATATATAAAATAAGTGAACATTGAAGTCAACACTTAGAGACAACAGGCTGTTTCATGCTAGACGCAATCGTCTGGCCACCCATATATTTAAGCAGCAAGTATTCATCCAAACAATTTTTATTAATATGAATGGACAAGGTCTATCTGTTTTAATTTTTATTGTATTTTTACAATTTTCAAATAAGTTGTTGAGTATTATGCTTGAACTTGTGGATAAACTGCCTGAAGTTCATATTGTGTTATATATAGCCCTTTTCTGTCTATCAGTAATGTTTTAATTTCTGATCACTGATAATCCATTTTTATTTCTTTTTTTTTTTATTATTTAACATGCAGATTAAGTGGAAAAACTAGCTAAAACAAATATCAAAGAACATAACAACTGCAAAGTTCTATACTTAATGACTAAATTGTATATTGAAGCACAAATTGTATAATTTCCATCTAATCATAGTCCTGCTAACAACTTGTACTGATTGTTTGCATTACATAATTATGATGCTATTCATTAACAGCAATCTCTGAGTGGGCTATTACAAATTCTTTTGTGAGAGGGGCCAAAAAGTACTTTTTTTTTTTTTTTTGCTCTCTAGAGTTAATATTTTGCATAATTTTCCTAGCAAGTATTAAATGATCAACTTTTTAAAAATTATTTACGTACTGTATGTACTATTGCTTACTTTCAACTTAGTGCATGTATTCATTAGGGTGAAAAGAAAGTTTTTGAAATTTTTGTTTGAATAAATCCTACCGGTGATATCATGGTTTACATAAGATTAGAGCTATGACTTGTCTTAACCAGGCATCTGTTCATTTAATTCTACTTATTTAATTCATCCTTGTATAATATATAAAGAACAACACTAGAAGATAAGATGATTAAAATAATCAGCACACATGCTAGACTCTGATAATCTCCTCAGTACACCCAGCATAAAAAATAACACCATGTGGGAATTTTTAATTTAGAAAGAAATATTAAACCTAAGACTATAAAATTCCACCACTTAATGACGCTGCAGGTGATGCAAAGACATATGCTCTGGTTTAATTGAAAAGATGAACAAATGACAAGATTTAAGGCTCTAAAACACCCTCAGCAACACATGGCATAAAATTGTCAGGTAATCCAAGAAAGTTATGTATGACTCTAGCTCAGTAGCAGAAAACAAGTAACATTACAAGGATGAATTGACCAATATGAAATATCCTTTTGGCATGGACAGTAGAATGCAAGCATTCTACTCCCATGAAGTGAATAATAGGTTCAGTTCAAAATTCCTACAAATTGACATATCTTAAGAGGGTCAAAGGGTAAGATGATGGAGATGTTATAATAATATCAACCAAAATGAGGACACTAGTCCGAGCAAATCACTTTCTAATACTTCCTTATCTCAAAAATTCAGATCAAAATATCCTTTTATTTGAATGGAGTTTTAATTTTCATTCAAACGAACACTACTTGCATGCCGAATGAATGATGCCTCTGACTGGACTAAAAATTTTGTGATTTCTAATCAAATACTCATATAACTGGTTTGTACATAATTTAGTGGCTAAAATTAACTCTGGAACATAAAAGTGACATTGATAAGTAGGGAAATACATTTTGTTACCAAATTAGTGTAAATGTAAAATGAAGATGAAATTTTATGTATGACCACAGATCTTTTTTAAAAAAATTTTTTAAACTTATTGTATTAATTTAAATACTTTCTTTGAATTTTTAATTCTAGTTTTAATTTCAAGAAAATAAAATTATTATTATTATTAAGAAGAAAAAACATTTGAATAAATAATTTTAAACTGATGTTTTTGAAATCCCAAATTAACCTGAAAATTTCATCATATTGATGACACTTCACCCGTCAAAGATAACTTAATTAAAAATCTAACAACAACAGAAAGTAGTCAGCCAAAATAAAAATCTGACAAGAATTAGTTAATTGACAATTATTTTAATTCAGTTAGTTAATTTATTTTACTGGATTATGAGAAAATATTATTTATATTTTATTTAATATATATATTGAAAAACATTTGTTTGCTGCTGATGTCAATACTTTGGGATCAGAAGGTTCAAAAGTACATAAAATTATGTGTATATCATGTGACCAACAATATATAGGCAGATCAAAAATGAAAACTGTTTTCAAGGTGACAAAACCAGATGATTTAACATTATTGTATACTTTTCACCTGTGTATTATTTCCCTGGTTTGAAAATCTTTGGAGTTGATCTATTTCATTCCAGTTGAATAATGGTATTGAAGAGAAGGTTGTTTTGTCAATACAGATTGCAGGCACAGAAAACACCCATCCAGAAAGTGCAGTTCTGTTTTATTTTTATTTTAAGTAAAATGTAAGAAATTTGATTTTGTAGTTTCTGTGTTTAATATGAAAGTAAACAACTTTTCATTGAACCCTTGGTGGAAAAAATTTTCTTTATTTGTTGAGGATTATTTTTTGCTAATGCATTTCTTTTTTTTTTTTTTTTTTTTTTTTTTTAATCACATAGTATGTTATTGAAGTTTGCTTGCTTCCATATATACTGATTGCAGAACTCAACCAATGGGAAAAGCAGCTGCATGTTTATCATTGTTGGGCAAACCAAGCCCACAACTTTGAAACCTATAAGCACAGAAGTCACAACATATGCAAATTCTTCAAACTGACCAATGGTTGATGTTCCAAGGGAATAAAAGCATAGTACTGTTTGCAGAACAGGTAGTAGAATTTCTGGTGAGATGAGTGAGTTACAGCAAGGATTTTGACTATTGACAAAGAACACTGAGTATTGGCATGGCTTTGTACTATCATATTTGAGTAAATCATACATTTCTACATTATTCAAATAGCATTATTATTTGAGAACATTTTATATATATATATATATATATATATCAGGAATGTAAATATGAAAAATACTTTAAATTAAGTACTTTTAGAATTATCGGAAAAAATGTCAGTAACTCCCCCCCCCTTTTTTTTTTTTTGTCGTCATCCAGTAAGTCTTCAGTATATTTTACAATATAAAATGTTAAAATATCACTAAAGTTAATATTGAATTTTTCAAATTTCATATCCAAGGCTTTCACTCTCAACAGACTAATTTAAAAAAAAAAAAAAGTTAAATTATTCATGGATTTATCTTTTTACAATGTAAATTTCTTTAGGCTTGGGTAGACCTTTATTGAGATATAAAATTAAATAAGGGGGGATTTATTTATTTTATGTACGGTTCAGCATGTGGACAATTATAACTTCCTGTCTTTTGTTGCTCTAACTTTTTACTATCCTTCTTTGTCCTTGTTCTACTATCCATTCGCACAAATTCATTAAGTAGGTTACTTGCTGTTTTCCCTTCTCTTGCCTTCTGTATGTCTTATCAGTGTTTAATTTTTCAGGCTTGCTTTCCTTATGTATCCAAGAAATTTCAGTTGTCATTTTCTGATTATAAGTATATGTTTGTAGTTCCTATTTTCTCTAATATTTTGTTCTGTCCATGCTGTGTTCTTTTGTAGAGCATCTCTGTTGCTGCAAGTCTCTTTGTCTGTGAAGTCATTGTCCAGCATTCACTGCCATATAGAAGATTAAATATTATATGGAAATTCAACACTCTCTTTTTCATTTCTAACAAAAGTTTTGTCTCTCTGCTTAGTTTCTGAAAGGCAACTTTCACTATTCTGATGTAGTTTCAGATTTCTACACTATCTGTCACTACACTATCCAAATAGTTGATATTGATGTCCCCAATACATAGCTCACTCTTGAGCTCTTTTGTTAACAACTATGCATTCTCTTTTCTTACTGTTAAGTCCTTTCTTCTTGATTTCTTTTACCTTATTTAAGAATTCTTTCAGTTTTATTACTGAACCTGTTATCAACCGTGACATCTGCATATCTTACATTAAGATTGTCTACTGATAAGTCATGTTAGATTTTCTTGTTTCTGCAGAATAGTCTTGCTGTATAGGTTAAATCTGGTGAGAAAATGCATGTCTCTTACTACTCATTCTACTTTAGTGTTTTCTTGAATTTATTCTCTATCATTCTAAAGATAGTATTTCTTGTTCTAATGTATTGATAGAAACCACACTGTTCTTGCTCTATTTTCATTCTAATTCAACTATGAACTCTATCATTAGAATCCTAATAGTTTTACATGGCTCATTAAGCTGATTGTCTGATTGGCTTTTGCATTCATTTGCTCCTGACTTTGGCATCACTGCGAAGATGGATCTACTGAGGTCTTCTGATATTTCACCACTGTCATATATTTTGTTTATTATTTCAATAATCTTATTAATCGTAAATTGTCTAAAGTTTGATAACATTTTGATTACAATCTCATCTAGCCTTGTTGCTTGATTTCTTACCTCAGATGTTAATGTTGTCAGTCCTTTCATGTTCTTACTATGTAGGTTTCACTCCCTTTTTATTCATAGAAGAGCCCACCAATGTATTCATTCCATCTTTTTCCTATTATAGGTGTTCACTTTTTAGATTTTATGTACACTGTTGAGGGGCATGTTTTCTGTCTTGCTGTTTTTCTCTTTTAATGCATGCCTGCTGTGTCAGTTCTGTTGAGTTTCTATCTCTCCACATCTCTTGTTGAGTCATTTATCTTTTACCTGCTTGCATTTTTTTATTTATTGTGCGCCATTCCTTAGCAATATCTGCTGCCTCTTTTTCATAAATTTGAGAATTTCATCTGTCAGCCACTTCTTTTATTCTTCTGCATGGGATAACCCCTTTGCTGATGTCACAAATGTTTTCCATAACATGCCTTATTAGTTACTGACATCATCAGAACCTTTATATTTGTATTGTATTTAAACATTTCTGTAATTTTATCTTAATTTGCATATGATTGGGAGGGGATTGTTTCCACAATTGGCACTTGGGTAGGTATAGAACTGCATTTCTAAATCTGTTACTGCTTCTTAGATAGATTCTTTATGTCTCCTGGACTTTTTTTATGTCCATGTATTTTTGGTATTTTGGAAACCAGGTTACTTGGTCATTTGCTGTGTGCCAATAGACTCATTTTTCTCCATGTTTTGTTGTGTGATCCAAGTTCGTATTTGTAACTACAGTGTAATCCGGATATAAAAGAGATTTTCTCTGGTCCCAAATTAGAGCCTGTGTTAATGTATATAAAATAGACCAAACCCGGATATAAGAGAAACCCGGATATAAGAGACTTCTTCTCCGGTCCTGACAACTCTCTTATATCCGGGTTACACTGTATTTCCTATTGTTTCATTTCAGTTTTCCATCTATATAATTTCATGCAATTTATATTGGCTTTTGTTATTATCTAGTGTTGTAAAACTTATCTATTTCTTCTGTACTTTGTGACTGTGCATTTACTATTATGTTGCCTATATGGAATGCCTTCTTTCCTCCTGTCTTTATCTAATATTAGTCCTACTCCTCTGTTTTTCTCTCACTGCCTGTGTATATAATTCTGTGTTTGCTGCTTGTGAAGTGTTTACTTGCATAAAACATTTTTTTTTCCACTAATATTTTTTTTTTCATATATATGCATACAAGGTGCAGCAGAAATACCTCCACATAATGGTAAGACATTAGTGGCAATGGTGTCTATCTAGCTAATGTCTTACCATTATGTAGGAGGTATTTCTGCCACCACCCTGTGTGTGTATGTATATATATATATATATATATATATATATATATATATATATATATATATATATATATATGAATGATTGTATTCAGTAAGTAAATATTGACAGTTTCATTCAAAACCATTACTTATTTCATTTTTGCTAGTTCCCAGATTCAAGTGTATATTTCTCAATGAACATTTCAATTGATTTTCTTACATGTAATATCTGGTGAAAAATTAAACAAATCTCAAAAGCAGTTAACTCTGTTTCTATATAATGTAAGAAACTAATTTTTATAAATAGATTTTCCTTGGATTCCTTTTAATGATATAAATCTTATGAGAATAGATTTAAATTTTTCTTTGTCATTGTATGGTTTTGCATCAGAAGTTGTCCAATTTTGCAGAATATTTTGGGGCATGCTTATGAATTCCATTTCCTTGACCACTGTCTAGCCAAAACCAATTCTACTAACATTTGGATTTAGTCCGAATAAAAATGATCATAACACTGAAAATTATGGTGTTCTCATGTATCACAGAAATCGTCTCATCAAGGCGTATGAAAAAGTTGGCTTCCAGAGGCAAGTGAGTACTCGGCTTTTTTTTTTTTTTTTTTTTTTCTTCTTTAATTGCATTTTATTTTTTTTATTTATTTTCTTCCTTAACTTTTAATTTTCTATGACTAGGATATTTCTGTTATGATTGACCTTTGATAGAATTCACAACCCTGGTACCCATAACCCATTAGGGTCGTAGGGGAACCACATGTACTGCTGCAGTAGTAGCAGTGGTGTTTCCTCAGCAAGATAGCTTGACAGGGCCCAACCCTTTCCGGGCTGGTTTTGAATTCAGTTTTTCCTTCTCCTAGACCAGTTGCAACCCAACACTATAAGAACCAGTCTGTTCTGCTATTTACCCATAGCTGTGGGGAGAAGAGATAGCTTCATACTTTTCCTAAAGTTATTAGCACATAAGTGAATGTAAAGTACTTGGATTTGAACTTGGCTCTCCAGTTCCTCAATCCAAGCTGCAACCCATTGCACAAACGTGATAGAATAGTTGTTTGTTAAAAGCTAGTATTTTCTTTTAGCTTGCCTTGCAAGCAGCATTTAGGCAGCCTATCATAACTTGTTAAAGATTCTTACTTTGGAGATATATGAAGGATTTGTTTTACTTGTTTTTTTTTTTTGTTTTTTTTGTTTGTTTTTTTTTTTAAATCCCTTTGAAGGTACTAGAATTTTGAACTATTGTTCTCACCTTGGTTGATATGGATGTTGTTAGAGACACATCATTTCAACCACATACTCTGGTCATCATCAGGTGGCCATTGATTATCTGATGTGGGATATCCATTAATTATTGTGGTATTTTGTCCATGTAATATCAGTTATTGTTTGTTCCTGTCCAGTGGTTAGAATGTTTGCTTTCTGGCCATGAGACTCTGGGTCAAATCTCACCATCGTTTATTTGTCAAGAAGGTGACTTCTTGATGTTATTGGTTTGGAGGAGGTGATCCTAGTGTGCAGAACCGTTGGAAAGTGCCAAAAAACCATACCACGGGTTGACCCAAGCCTTGTAATTGAAATTGGATCGATGAGACCCTTGACAGCCATCAGTGGTTGTGCTAGCACAAAGTCACAAGTCATCATGACTGAGGGTTTAAACATGCTGGCCTTGTTCAGACTGTTGATTACTCTAGATAATGTGCTTTCTCCCATGTATAAGTATTTGTCATGAAAAAAAATTGCCACACATTTTTAGATTTTAGCTAATACTTTGTTATTCTTTAAATATTTCCATTGCTCTTAAAGCTTCCAGTGTATTATTTTAGTATTTCCAAATAGCATGTTGGCTGTATAAATCTTTACTTGTTCACTTGTTAATAAAAAGTTGATCTTTTATTATTATTATTATTTTTTTATTTTTTTCAGGCCAATGAATTGGGAGTAGGTGTTGTAGGAGTGGTTGAGGTGGACTTTTTAGATCCAATTCATAATAAGCAGGATTTTAAGCGAACTGACAGATACAAGTGAGTCTTGATTTGGAAAGATTTTGTCATAAATTTCTTTTATCTTTTCTATTTTTATTTATCATTAATTTTCTTCATATTTTCATAATATTCAGATTTTAAAACTTCACTGTGTTATTATGTCTTCTAAAAACCATTGCATATTTTAAATTATTGGATTATTTTTTTCATAGTTTTTTTTTTTTATGCAAATTTATAAAATTAAATAAAGATCTAGTCTGTTATATTCAATTTGCAATGATTTTAGTAATCATTGCTTGTAAAAGATGCAATAAATTTAAAGCAACTGAGCTTTAATTACACATAATAATAAAACAAGACATTTTGTTTGAGTTTCTATCTATTTCTTGTTAATGTGATTGTTATTCTGTTCAACTTAACAAAATAGAAGAAAGATTCTATGATTTCTCTATTTCAGCTCGTTTATGACTTCCCTTGGTACGAAATTAAATGATTATTGGAATGAAAAATGTGGCAGTACAGGAAAAAGTAATTCATCTAATACTAACAAGTGAGTTTGAAAAGTTATTCATACTAAATGAACATAGTTTCAATATCTTTAGTCTTTTTTTTTTTTTGTCTTTTTTTATAGCACTGTTTCTATCAGCTTTATGAACCTTTTTATAATTCAATTAAAAAATATGCAAAAATATAATTCATGATACTAAATGTGCCATATCAAATTTTTAGAAGTTGAATTTTTTTTTTAATTATTTTTTTTATTTTTAACTTAAAATATTTTTAAAGAATTATGACCTACACTTAGAGATTGTTCTCTCCATTACAAGATTTTAGTTGGCAACAAAATTATTGTAATTGTATTCTGCAAATTGGTAAATTTATAAACTGTTTGAGCAACAGAATCTTAAAATTTTTGATTTGCTTTAAAAGAAAATACATAGGTTTTTTTTTTTTGTTTTTTTTTTTTTTTGTTTTTTTTATTAAGATATATTTGCTAACCATCATTAATTTTTGACTTGCATCTTTTGGTGTGCTTTTTCTTTTTTTTTTTTTTTAATGAATAATAACTATCTCTTGTGAGACTCACTTGCACTCCTTTTGTTTTGAAAATTCCATTTGCTAAAATAGATTTTGAAAGTAAGGGAATATGCAAGTTTGATTTTCTCTAAAAAGCTTATTCTTTGTTTCTGATTCTGTAATTGTGACAAAAGAAATATTAGTCAAAAATGAATAATGGCTGGTAATGTGTCATCTATTAAGAATGAGAGAAAACACTTACTCTTTTATCTTGTTACATGAAAATTATTTTTTTTTTTTTTTTTTTTACAGAGCCCTTCCATTTGCTAGGTTTGTATTTACTTTTCTTTATCATTCTTATTTATATAGCAATATCCTTTCCTATCTGTATTGCATATAAACTTTTGGTAGATTTTTTTTTTTTCCTTATGTTGTTAGATCAGTATTAATGATTGAATTTTTGCTATTAGCACATATAAGGTTTATATTGTTTTCTTTTTCAATCTTCAGGCATTCATTATAATCTCTCAACTACCATTTCTTCATGTTCACAAGTCAAGGATTTTTTTTATTTTTATTTATTTTTTTTTTTTTTTTTTTTTTTAATCATTTTGTGAAAGAAAATTGGTCCTCCTCACTATTATTGTTTATTGCACATAACATTTTAAACATGGTCTTCTAAGAATTTTTAATTAAACAGCTACTATACCTATCTATAGAACATGATTTTTAAGTCAGTTTTCCTGGCATGATTGTCTTATGGATTTTTCTACCTACAACCGATACTTAAAACCCAATCTATGCAGGTCTGTAGTCTTGTAAATCAGCCGTGTACCCTATTCTGATAAAATACACAATTTGTTTTAAAATATTCCATTAACTTTTTATTCTTTCATTGATCTATTTTGTTATATTCTTTTTCTTGTTTTTTAACTACTACTCAAGTAAAGTTTGGCTTTTTCATATTCATTTATTTCATTGTTTTCATCTACCTCCTTTTAGTTGTTATTTAGTTTTAATGTTTTTTTTTTTTTAATATAAATGTACAAGGAGGCACTGAAAAGTTCTTGGCATCTTTTCATCACCACCACCTCCATATACAATTGTTTTGTCTTGTTTTTCATTTTTGTGCTTTGAATCATGTTTTTGTATTTGAAGAATAAAAAATCATTTTTTTCTTTTTAACTCTTAATACTTTTGTAAAATCTGATTTAATATGAAACATTTTTTTTTTCTATTAAGTGTTAAATTTAGTTCATTAGCAATTCTTAAATACAAAGCTAATTAAATATCTTTATTACAAATTCATAATTTTTTTATAAATTACCTCAATTAACTTTAGCAATACAAAGTCTTGTGAGTGTGAGTGTCTAGTAGCTTAGTTTTCTCTTTGCCACCATGGCCGCTGGAGCAATAATATGATGTTTGCATGGTATTGTAATGGTCTGGGTTCAATTCTCAGAGTTGGTAAAGGATGCGCACTGCTGGTGAGTCCCAAAAGGACAAAACTGCTGTACTGTGCTTTTCTGTATGTGTTGAGGATTCTAGGTTTAGACCTGATAAATTATTATGAATATAAATATATATAATTTCATTTGGCAATCTCATGTATAAAGTCTTCATTTGATTTTAAGAAAAAACATTGTCTGTGTATTTGGTCTACACAATAATTTATATAAAATTTTGTTAACTCTTACACCAGCGATATAATCCGCATTTGATAAAATAACCTATATCTTTTAATTTCTTACATGAAGCATTCTTGTTAATCCATTGACTGCTCTTTTATCGTATTTCTGTTGCTTTTTATTGCAACTCCCAGTTTGTTCCATGATTGTCAGTAAACAGTGTGGGTTATAAAGAAAATCCTCCAGCAAGACTTTGGCTAACATTGTTTTTCCCTCAGGAGTCAGCCTTTCCAGGGCAGTTGCCATACCAATTTGGACACAAAGGTTAACTAGTTACATTGAAATCTTGCTCTGTAGCTTTTATTTCTTATTTGCACTTCTGACTATGATACACCGCCATTTTTGTTTATATACACTAGTACTATTAGCTGTAATAAATTCAATTCTTTAAAAGGAAACTTTGTCGATTATTCCTTTTTTTACTTTTATTTTTGTCATCTTAATATCTGTTGTTTTTTTTGGGTTTTTTTTATTGCAACACTCAGATCATTGTATAATCACTAGTAAAATGAAAAATTCTGGTCAAAAATTAATGTCATCTAAGAATGAATTTTACAATAATATTGGTGTAAGCAAACAAGAGATGGCAGTATATGACTTAGTGTAAATAAAGAATAAAAGCTATATGGTGAGATTTTAATGTTGCCTTACCAGTTTGCTTATTACAAATTCATAATTTTTTATAAATTACCTCATTTAACTTTAGCAATACAAAGTCTTGTGAGTGTGTGTGTGTGTGTCTAGTAGCTTAGGTAAGGTATCTAACGGTCCCAGAACAGGTTGCTGGAGTTTTTTGTATTTTTTCTTCTAACCCACACTACTTAATAACTACAGTTGCAATAAAAGTAATCTTATGATGAAGGAAACACTAGTTGAAAGGTAATAGAATAATCTGATTTTATATTGCAACATTTTTATGTTAAATTTTGCATATGAAATGTTTGAAACAGATGATGCAGTTGAAATTCTGGAGTTATTGTGAATTCCATTATATTGTTGATGGCTGTATAGTATATACTTCACAAGGACTAGATATGTTTTTTTAATTCAAGAGTTCTCATTCTCCTAGACTGGTTGCCACCCAAGGCTGAAGAGCCCAGTTTGTCCAACTATTTAATGGGGGGGGGGGTTTGTTCCTAGTAACTATCCGTTACATTACCTGCATATCATTAACATAGACTAGTGTCAAAAAGTAAAACAAAATATAAATTAGATGGTTAACAATTCATTCCCCCAAAATAGTTTGAAAATGTTTAAATACCATTGAAGTGTTTTCCCTGCTCAAATTTGTCTAAAAACTATGAAATTGATGTTTCTTTTACTTCAGATTGAGTTAATTTTGATGAGCTGTTTGCCACTTTTTGTTAATTTTCCTTTTTTTTTTTTTTTTTTTTTTTTTTTTTCTTCTTCTGCAGAATGTTTTCTGGGTATGTATATATATTTAGTTCTAATTTTAGCTGTTGTTAAGTTTTCATATATTGCTGTTATGACTTTGTTATAAGCTCATATCTTAGAACCAAAAATATTTCCTCAAGAGATTTCTTTCTCATAAAATGAAATATTGAAAAAAATTTTCTTTTCTCTTTTTCGTTTCTTTTCTCTTTTTCTCTTCTCTTTTTTTTTTTTTCTCTTCTCTTTTTTCTTTTTCTCTTCTCTTTTTTCTTTTTTCTCTTCTCTTTTTTCTTTTTTTTTTTCTTTTTTTTCTTTTTTCTTTTTTTTCTTTTTTCTTTTTTTCTTTTCTCTTTTTTCTTTTTCTCTTTTTTCTTTTTCTCTTTTTCTTTTTTCTTTTTTCTTTTTCTCTTTTTTCTTTTTCTCTTTTTTTTTTTCTCTTTTTCTTTTTTTCTTTTTTCTCTTTTTTCTTTTTTCTTTTTCTTTTTCTCTTTTTTTCTTTTCTCTTTTTCTCTCCTTTTTTTTCTCTTCTCTTTTTTCTCTTCTTTTTTTTCTCTTCTCTTTTTTCTTCTCTTTTTTCTCTCTTCTCTTTTCTCTTTTTTCTCTTCTCTTTTTTCTCTTCTCTTTTTTCTCTTCTCTTTTTTCTCTTCTCTTTTTCTCTTCTCTTTTTTCTCTTCTCTTTTTCTCTTCTCTTTTTTCTCTTCTTTTTTTTTTCTCTTCTCTTTTTTTTCTCTTCTCTTTTTTCTCTTCTCTTTTTCTCTTCTCTTTTTCTCTTTTTTTCTCTTCTTTTTTTTTCTCTTCTCTTTTTTTCTCTTCTCTTTTTTTCTCTTTTCTTTTTTTTCTCTTTTCTTTTTTTTCTCTTTTCTTTTTTTTTCTCTTTTCTTTTTTTCTTTTCTTTTTTTTCTCTTTTCTTTTTTTTCTCTTTTCTTTTTTTTCTCTTTTCTTTTTTTTTTTTTTTTCTTTTTTTTTCTCTTTTCTTTTTTTTTCTTTTTTCTTTTTTTCTCTTTTCTTTTTTTTCTCTTTTTTTTTTTCTCTTTTCTTTTTTTTTCTCTTTCTTTTTTTCTCTTTTCTTTTTTCTCTTTTCTTTTTTTTCTTTTTCTTTTTTTCTCTTTTCTTTTTTCTCTTTTCTTTTTTCTCTTTTTTTTTTTCTCTTTTCTTTTTTTTTCTCTTTTCTTTTTTTCTCTTTTCTTTTTTTTCTCTTTTCTTTTTTTCTCTTTTCTTTTTTTTCTCTTTTTTTTTTTCTCTTTTCTTTTTTTTCTTTTCTTTTTTTTTTTCTTTTTTCTTTTCTTTTTTTTTTTTTCTTTTCTTTTTTTTTTTTTCTTTTTTTTTTTCTTTTTTTTTTTTTCTTTTTTTTTTCTCTTTTTTTTTTTTCTCTTTTCTTTTTTTTTCTCTTTTTTTTTTTCTCTTTTTTTTTTTTCTCTTTTTTGTTATACTGTAAAAGAAAAAATATATCTTAGAAA